TAGATAAATGGTCATCTTATTCGGTATGCCCCGTTAATCGGTGTGCTTCTTTCCGTCAATTTCACCTCCAATGAGTAACTGGAATAATAATGAATAATGTGCTTTAATCAAGGCGCATCTCGAACAAACTATTGGCAAGACCGATCAACAACAAAGAAAAGATAATAAAATTTTGACCCTAACCTCTAATTCCCGCTCATCAAACACAGTGATCAACTCGTGTGGTATAAGTTGATTAAATCCTTCCATAAATGCTTTAAATTGATCCTCAACACGTTTAGACATACGCCATTCAGTAATAAGTCTTAAAAAATTTAATACATGAAAATTCGAAATAAGATAAATGTATCGTACAAGGATAATAATTCATATTCAATACACACTCAACATATTCTTTCTTATTTTCTTCCGTTACTTGGATGTTACGACCATTCGGCTTCAAATCAACTGTAACAACTTCACAAAAGCATACGTCTTCAGTGGAAAATGTTAAATCCAAAACATGAGTGATATTACTTTCTCTTTAAAAAAAATTTTTTTTTTAATTAGCACCAAAAAAATGAAATTACATTATTGTTATAAAACGAATACACATACAAAGTCCATATTAAGCTTCTATAGAATTGTGCATCTACATTTTCCATATCAGCCAAGCCAATTCTTTTCTTCAGAATCATTTTATAAAATGATGTGATGAAAAATGCATCTAAAGATCGACGATTGAAAATAGCAAGCCCGAACACTCGTCCAACGAATTTAAAATAATTAAGATGTTGAGGATCGATTCCAGAGTGTGGATTAATTTGGAGATTGTCGTTATCGTTATCGGAGTATTCAAAAAGACAATAGAATGGATCGAACATTTTATGAGAAAGCAAAAGGAAAAATTCTCTAAGCAATTTGTGAGTCGAAATGCAAAATAAATTTTTAGCACTTGTCATGCTTACTAAAGCTTTTAACAATTCTCATTTAATTAAAATAATATTTTAAACCCTAATAATTACTTGGATAAGTAATTGTAATCTAATTCGTCTTCATCCTCAAATTTAATCATTAATCGTTTTTTAAGATCTTGTGGCTGTTGCCGCATAATTTCTGAATAAGCGTCTTCAAAAATAAATTTGCGCCGGACCTTAATATGGCATTGACCAGGTATAGGTCGAAGAGCAGGTTGTGATCTAAAGTAAATAAGCTTCCTACGAAAATCTCGTTTATATTGAGACACATCTTGACTAAATATATATATATATAATATAATTAATTGGTTTTAAGAGACCTGATATTATTAATAAAATTTTAATAAAAATTACATACCCTAAGCTGCTAGGTAACCGAGGATCATCCCATGTAGTGGTTTTGGTATTGGCATCTACAAAATACACTCTAGCAGTACTTGTCAATCGCATTTCCCAGCCAGAGGGCAGTGGTCCTAGTTGAGTTATGTTTGCATTTCCACTATACAATTGTTGTCTGCGAGGATCTACCCAACTAGTGGTTCTTGTATTATGATCTACAAAATATGGTCTACCTTCGGGTGTAGTTTTTTGTTCTTAATTAACAAAAGGAGGTCAGATGAAGTTGAAACATATATATATATATATAAATCTTAATTATGTACAATAATCTATTATCGCTACGTACCCCAACCAGAAGGCAGTGGTCCGAAGCCGGCCGTAGTAGTTGCAGACGCCTCTGCGTCAGAACCGGAAGTAGGTGTTGATGCAGTTGTATTC